ATATACCGAGGTTTGGATGAACCTCCTGGAACACATGTGGGTCCAATCCTGGGCGAGGGAGGCAAACAAGATCTGTCTATAGACCTATATTTGCACCATATATATTAATTGTACCTATACTCTCAATTAATTACGAATCTTACCACTAATTAAGAATTCTCTATCATATATTGAGAAAGATACACACACATAAATATATACACACATATGAATCACGCCAAACGCATGTATTTGTATGTATCTTAGTATCTGGTGTGATTTGCATCTATCTGCTATACCAGACACATATAAGAGTACTGGCGAACAAGATAAGAGGGAGCAAACGAGATTTGTCTATGCAATCTCAATTACTTGTGAACCAACTTATACACACTATAACTAAAATAAATTACACCTAATTGTGACCAATGCATCCAAAATATTATTAAAAAGTTATAAAAATCATTCAAAAATGGGATCCATGAAATACTTTTAGCTAGCCACCTTTATTTACCATTACAAGGAAAGCTTTTTTCTTCATCATCATCATCATAGATTCTCTTGACCCCCCACCCCCACCCCCTCCTCTTTTTTAGCAGTACAAACACAGAATTGTGTAAGATTTCAAAGTACAATGCAAAATGCTAACTTTTACCCAAACTCACACACTTCCTATCGTCCCCCAACAACCCAACCTGCCTACAGTACACCCACATGATTTTACAAAAAAAAAGTTTCACCCCAGCCCACCCCACCCCTCCCTCATCTTTATTCTTTTTTCCGCATCTTTCTAACATCTCAATAATTCATGACAGCAAGATCACTCTGCCACTTACGATACTTTCCACATAACTTCAACTATACAAAAATTTCTTTTACAAGAGTCTTTTCAATTCCAATCATCTGGGCAATACCAATGTAGCGTTGGAGCTTGTTCATCTGTGAACAACAGTGTACTGCAAGATTCTTCGCCATTAAAAAAATTATGCTCCTCCAATTTCACAAACTGTGATGAACTAAAATTAACCTCATTCGATTCCAAGAACTGGAAACAATTCAACGAGGAATTAGAATCCGGAGATGATGATCCTGATCCCGACCCTGACTTAATCAAGAAAGCACCAGATGAAATGACAGCGTTATCTTCGTTCAATATTGCACTTGAATCACTATCTGATGATCCATCTTTGAAATCAGTAAAATTAATTGAGGGATTCATAATTATTGTATCAAAGTTGAGCTCTGTATTAGAATTGTTGCATTGGTTGCTCTGTTCAGTTCTTTTGTCATCTGATTCGGAATCGAAAGCTTCTTCTTTTACAGCAATTTTGATTTCACTGTTTCCTCCATGTAGCTTTGATTTTAGCTCATTTATCTACAATGTCAAAAAAAATAATCAGTACATTATGACAATTCTAATTAATTTAAATGAAAAAGACGGGATCATCTGAATTCTCTTCGTTAGCAAATAATATTTCATATATACGATTGAAATTACTCAGTAAAAATTGATATCTTTTTTTACAGCGGCATGGCTACATAACCAAAGATGCTCAATCACTTGAACATTATTAGTGAAAAATGATACTATACATATAAAAAATAGTATTGTGTATATAAATTTTGAATATACTTATCATAAATTTTAATTTCGCTATTTCCTTTCTGTATTTTGAATTTCTTTACTCAAAATTTTGATTTCCCCATTTACTAGGAAGGATAAAAAAATTCTAGAAAAGGTAAAAATAAGTTAATCTAAAGTCTAAAAGTTTTCACTATATGTATACTATGTGTATAGTTGTGTATAATTGATGTATAATCTATGTATATCAACTTTGAATAATGTAAAAAAAAATATACCTCTTTCAATAGAGCTTCATTGTCATGTTGGATAGATTCATAATTATGTTTAAGTGAATCAAAATTAGCTTTGAGAACATTGTAATCTCTCTCTAATTGCTTTGTTTTCCACCGTGCACGGCGGTTTTGGAACCAAATCGCTACTTGTCGCGGCTGAAGGCCTAGTTCTTGAGCTAATTTCACTTTCCTTTCAGGTTCAAGTTTGTTATCCACTTCAAAATTCTTCTCTAATGCCTTCACTTGATCCACCCTTAACCGCCGTTTTTTCTCCGATCCGACACCGGATTCTTCCACATAGGTGGTGGCTTCATCATCATCTAAACTTTCTAACATGGATTGAATTTGAAAGTCCCTTGAATAAGCATGGTTGTTCCAATTATTCTCCTCATCTACAAAAAACAAAAATAACGTAAGAATGACACATAACAAAAATGAAATACTGATCGAATGATAAACACTCCTCACCTGTATACTCGTAAAAAAAGGATAAAGAAAACATATATCGAAGATAATTTATGAACTTATGTGTTATACACACAAACTTGACCTATAACAATATGTAACACATCGTATGAGAAGTACATGCTATAATCGATTAAATTTAATAGCGTTACACTATCATAATAGAACATTATTTAGTAACAACAAATTCAACTTAATAACTAAAGTTTAGTAGCAAGTGGATATATAAAGGACTGAAGTGTAAAATGATGTTCTTGATTCATCAAAACCAATATATTCCTCATGTTACATGGGGATTAGATATTATTGGACATGTTATCAAGAATATAACAGAATTTCATAAAAACATAAATATAATTTATTTAGTTTTTTTTTCAAAAAAAATGAAAATTAATTCAATTATGTATTTAACCAGGTAAATTAAGTACCTGCAGTATTTTGACACATGGAGATCAATGGTGCACCCAATGAATCATTGCTACGAACTCTCTTCATGATGATATGCAAATTTTCTTTTCTTGAATTGAAAGTTCAATTATTATTATTATTATTTTGGATCAAATAATACACCATATTTCTCCTTTTCAATTAATTCCTCCACTTCTAAACCCATAGTAAAAGAAAAAAAAAGAGATAAATACACAATTTTTTTGAATTATTTCACAAATAATTTTGTGAAGTATTAGAAGAAAATGTTGTGTACATATTTTAGAAAGAGAAAAAAAGATGGAAGAAAATGGAGAGGAAAATTAGAAATGAGTAGACAACACAGCTGGCTAAGCTTATTTTTTTCTCTCTTTAAATAAAAAAACCAAATCTGGGGTCAGATGTAGGGTTAAAATCTGACTAGGGTTAGGTGCACTTGTTGTGGGGTGGGGGGGTGGGGTAGTGAGGGGTTAAATGAAATGAACTTGAAATTCAGTGCAAATGCAACTTGATTTGCAAAGATTGACTTTTTCTTAGGAAATCTTTTATTCTCTCCATTTTTTAATAATAGTTGTTCAATATTTACTTGACACGTGAATTAAGAAAGTAAATGATAAGGAAAACTTTACCATATCATCCTTATCAAATAAGTCATTTAAATATTGAAAAATGAATTAATAAGGGTGGAATAGATATATTATTCATTAATTTGGTAAACTGAACAAATATTATTTAACATTTCAAAATAGTATAATGAACGAGTAAAGATGAACTGAAAAGTTACATTATAAGGTTCGTATGGTTATTGAGAGATAGTATGGAGTTTATTATAAATAATCTTTCTACTTCATGATCAATAGATTGGGATATTTGATTCGTTTTTTTTTTTAATTGTGGGATTGAGAACTATTTTCTTAATGAAATCGTTCTAGTTCTATATCAAATTATCAAATAGTTATTTTGTTGAGGCTAATTGATATATAATGTTAAATAATATCAATACAATTAATTTATTTTGGAAAGCTAATAGTAGGTAACTCTTTGAGTAACATTGATTTATAATCTTCCGCTGATGAGTAAAATAATAAATTAGAGATTTCAAATTTAGATTTTAAAGAATAAAAGTCATTTTTTAAAATAAGAAATGATAGTTTAGAACTTCATTATAAGTGCAAATATAATTGTTCAACAATATTAAACCACAAATACATTTACTAAGCAAACGATACACTTAATAAATATATAATATAATATATTTCATTATTATTGTGTACATCTCATAATATATTTTGAAATCAATACGATGCTAGATTTCGTAATTAGAGACAAATTATAGCTATATATAAGAGTATAAGATGTAAATTAAATTTATTTATTCTTGATAAATGGCATGAAAAGGGAACGGCTCGGCTTGTTAGAGGCTTGGACGAAGCCGATTAATTGAAGAAATCGGTGACGCCCAATTTATCTTCTCGTGAGATTAATTGAAAAATGAAACTAGAATAAAATGACAAAAAATATTTAGATGAGAAAAAACAGAAGAAAAAAAAAGCAACCCATGTGCTTCTCAACTGAACTGAATCAAATAAGCCAAAAGAAATTGCAGGAGATTTATAGATAAGTTTGTTTTTTTTATTACATTTTCTTGAAAATCATTTCATTTTTTAAAAAAGATTTATAATTGAATTCATTATATTTTTGAAAATATGGATAGATATATTCTGTATTGTAATTATATTGAATATCATGCTCTAAGATCCACATATAATTGGCATTCAAAAATGAAGGGTATTCCATTCATCAACAAGGGAAAGAGCATGATTTGATAAAAATTTCTGTTGTTTTATGACAAATTTTAAAGTGATAAAAGATAAATCGTAATTATATATAGTTTTATTTATCAAGATTATGAATATAAATTTGATAGTAATTGATTTTTTCATAAGATTTGTCTATGATTCGATAAAATTTATGCTAGAGTCGTTAGTAGTGTATTTCTTGAACTAAGATAATTGGTATTGATTATTTATAATAATCGAGAAGTATTTTTAAGAAAATAGAGTATCAATTATATAAGCATGAACTAGGGTTTAGAATTGAATAACATCCAAAAATCTTAATTGGATTAAATAAAACTTGTTGAGTCCAACTTAAATTACTAAGGTCTTAAATCTCACAAAATTTCAATGTCTAGGGTATCATGATTTAACATAAATAATCTAAGATCCAGAATATAATAAATAAAAATAATTGATGAGTCAAAATTCATACATTGAAAGTTTTTTTTTAGTTTTCACTCATTATTTGGTAGTTGATACCTGTTTTTGAGTTCAATTTTCGTTCATTATTTTCAATTTGTATTGGAACTCGACTTCGCTCGTATCTATATTAAAGTTTAACTAATTCAGATTTGTAATGGATAAGAACTCATTTGAGGGGTAACGCTTCCAATCGAAATTTCTTTCATATTCTGGACTCAAATTTAAGATTTCCAATTAAAAAAATACTTTATCCACTACATCACATTCTTTCGTAATCCGCTTTTCGTTCTCAAAAGAATTAAGAAGATAACCAAGTTCTTGAGCCAAATAAATGTTCCTTTACGTAATCATACACCAAAACTTCTTACTAAATCTGTCGAATATTTGAATAATTTTCAATTTAATCTAAAAGAACGAATAATTTAATGTATAAAATATCTTACGTTTATTTTAGATTAAAAAAAAATCTAATTAACATAAACAATCAACTCTGAGCTTGTGACGTATAAGTATAGAGAGACAATATTACAATTATCCCAAAATAAAAAAAAAACAACTCGTAACAAAGGCAAAATTTTAGTAAGGCATGTTAGGCATTAATGATCAATGAATAGATACACTGATTTACACACGTGCTTCTAAAACTCTCGAGGAACAATACTCTGTTCGTACATATTTATTTGTTCATTATATTAATTATTTTTTTTAAAAAAAAGTTAATATTAAATATCAATTAATAAAAATAAAAAATTATCATATTAATTCTTGTAACAACCATAAAGATAATGAAAGATGAGTACCCAATTTACTGTTAGCTTAAATCTAGGGGTCCATTTATTGATTTAAGAGTTTTCTCCACATTTTTATGAGTATTTTTTTTTCTAAAGTACATAATTTAATAAAATATTAAATAATGAACTTTCGACATAGCCTTTTCCATCCCTTATCATGGCAATTAAATTAAATATAAAAAGACATGGTATATAAAGGGAAATGTCTCTTTGTACAACCCATTTAAAACTATATTTTAAAAACATATATAATTTTTGGTTAAATATAAGTGGAATTTTAGTTGTCGACGTATACTAGTTACTCACCATATATTATAATGATATAAAAGATACAATCAAATAAACAAATATATATTTTATATTATAGTTCAAAATTTTAGTTGAGTATACTTGGTATGTGACAAACTTATAAAGATATAATAAATAAATAAAAATATACTATATATTATAGTTTAAAATTTTAGTTGGGCACCTCTATATACTTAAACATAACGTAGCAGTAAAATATGCGAAGGGCATAATTACAGATACAATTAAATAGATAAAAATATGCCTTATTTCTAATTAATTTGATAATATTAACATAATATGTTTTTCTTCGTTTTTAATCAAACTTGTATGATTCTTACCTAAAGGTCCCTATCAAAAAAAAAAATATTTACACTTTATATTTAACATTTTATTCTTTGCAATTTGTTTACTTATTACTAGCAATAGTAATAATAATAAATTACCCCATAGTACTTAATTATATAGTTTCATGTCTTGGATCTCCATTTTCAAATTTAATGGCTAAAAGTCCAAAAAAAAAGTATTTCATTCAAATTTGTTAGCTGTAATTATAGCTGTTTTTTTTTTCGGAAAAAAGTATGGGAAGAGGATGATAGTCTGGTTGATAAGAGATCAAGTATGGGATCCAATTAATTAGTGTCTTTGACTACCAAAATATATATACATATATATATATACATATATATATATATATATATATATATATATATATATAATAAG